CTCATAAAATTCATACAAATTATCCGGCCAGAATATAATTTACATTGCTGGAATTCTTACAATTTGATGATCATTTTGAATATAAACATCATAGATTTTGCATTAGACATACAAATTTTAGATATAATGTTTACTCTTGAGTAAATATGTTATCTTTTGTGCAAAATATATGATATTTATATTCAAAATATTCCTGGTCTTACAAGGAATCCAGCAATGTCAATTATATTATCCTAACTTTAGTCTGATTTATTATTTATTACTAAAAAGGTAAACAGTCTGGTATTCCCACACATTTATCTAGTAGGGACGTTGGTGGGGGGTGGGAGGGAGGGAGGGAGGGACCGGCGACCGACCATCTGTTACCTTGTGAAGAATATTTTTTTTTTTATTAACTGAAGATTTTTATTTTAGCTCATAAAATTCATACAAATTACCCGGCCAGAATATAATTTACATTGCTGGAATTCTTACAATTTGATGATCATTTTGAATATAAACATCATATATTTTGCATTAGACATAAAATTTTTAGATAAAATGTTTAATCTGAGTATGTTATCTTTTGTGCAAAATATATGACGTTTATATTCAAAATATTCCTGGTCTTACAAGGAATCCAGCAATGTCAATTATATTATCCTAACTTTAATCTGAGGTATTATTTAATACAAAATGTTAAAATCTAAATTTTTCACCCAACATCTCTTGAAGGGAGGATTGGTGGGGGGTGGGGGAGGGTTGGGACTGACCGCGCGGTTGGAAGAGGGGGGGGAGGCAAGGTGGGGTACTTTGATTGACAGATAGTGTCGTGAAGAATATTTTTTTTTTTTATTAACTGAAGATATTTGTTTTAGCTCATAAAATTCATACAAATTACCCGGCCAGAATATAATTTACATTGCTGGAATTCTTACAATTTGATGATCATTTTGAATATAAACATCATAGATTTTGCATTAGACATACAAATTTTAGATGTAATGTTTAATCTGAGTAAATATGTTATCTTTTGTGAAAAATATATGACATTTATATTCAAAATATTCCTGGTCTTACAAGGAATCCAGCAATGTCAATTATATTATCCTAACTTTAGTTTGAGGTATTATTTATTACTATACCTGGTTTTCCCCCAAAATTTCTCAGAGGGAAGAGCCAGCAGTGTAGTGTGAGAAGAGGGGAGGGAGTCGTGTCCATTATTTGAATGGACATTAACTTGGCGACTGTATTTCTCTATTTCTCTTAAGTATTAATTGTGTGCATGTACCATCATAAAATTAAGATGTTATTTTTACTACAACATAGTTATATGTCGTCAAAAAGTGGAGTTTGGGGATCGGCCCGGACTCCATTTCAATTAATCCCATATGTTATGTTATTCACTTTACGCGTTTCTCGCTTTCCGCGGTACCCTCCGGGTTACATTAACCGCGTAAAGTGAGGGTTAACTGTATATTATTTCTCACTTTTGATCTTTTTTTTACTTTTTGTATTTATTTATGGTTAGTTACTTAAAATAAGGCCAATTCACTTCAAGCAATGGCATCAAATGTTACCAGCTGGTGTAGTGTAAACACTAGTGACGTCACTTAAGCGTCTGTATTTAACTGTCGATAGTTTCAAGAATTAACGCAGTCATTTACTGAATATTCCTTGTAAAAAAATATATTTTAAATTAATTATTTATAGGAGATAAGTATTATTATCAGTAAATATACCGATATGCATTACTGACCACCTCCACCGCTAAAAATAGCCCAATCTTGAAGTCGCTTTCCCTTTCTTGTTTCCTCACTGGCAAATGGGGGGGGGGGCATGGGGAGGGGTGTGTGATGATAGCTGTGTTTATTACAGGGGTATAATTTTATTTTATGGTATGTTAGACAGGTTATAATACATTTTTATTATTTTAATATACAGTGGTCCCTCGGTTAACGAGCGCCTCGGTTAACGAGATTTCGGTTAAAGATTTACCTTCCATAAGATTCTTAACTTCGGTTAACGAGCAATCCCTCGATTAACGAGTTTTTTACGAGCCGACTTCAACATGTTTTCGCTTGCATTTGGCGGTCCACCAGCTGTAGTATTAGTCCGCCAATACAGTAATCGGTTTTAGGGCTTAAACTCCTTACTATTTTTGTAAATATCAAGAAGCTTATACTATTCAATAATTTTAAAAGTTTAATATTAACTTTTTTAGTCATTTTAACAATTATTGAACATAATTGAAGGTAAAGAAACTAGTTTCTGGCGTGCCATCCAGCCTGTTAACACACCAGACAGGCGTTAGTCTCTCTCTGTTTTCAGTGGAGGTAACATCTTGCTTGAGACTCTCTTCAACTAAACGCTCTTTTTCTGTGTTTCCAAGCAAATTATTGGTCATTTTGAAATATATTTTACATTTTGACAATATATAATGTAGTGCAGTGTTGATTTAAAGAAAATAATCTTGAAATACACCAAGAGAACTAAAATTTTATGGGTGAAATGGTGCCATGGGGTGACTTCTCTTCCACCCCAATGCCTTCTCTTCTTCCTTCTCCTCCACCCCCATTCTAAATCCCATTATCATCATCATCATCATCCAGGAGCCTTCTACATGCACACCTTAAAGTAAGTGTACTTTTTTACCTTTTTTGTTGAATTTAGGCAATTTTCGGTGAGCTGGAACCAATTACCCAAAAACCCATTGAAACAATAGTTTCGGTTAACGAGTTTTTCGGTTAACGAGCAACCTGCTGGAACGAATTGTGCTCGTTAACCGAGGGACCACTGTACCGGTAATCTTAATTTGAATCCAGCTTGCCAAACGTAAGTTTCAGTATAAAATAATTAGTGGTAGGACCTTGCGAGTGGCTTACGATGTTTCCATCACCACTCTTGACACACTAAACCACAATATTTAAGAGGTAAGAATTTTATACCTGGTTATTAAGACGACCCCCTAACTTTGGGCAGATATTTTTAATGTTCAAATTCCGTCTTATAAGCCGAGATATATGGTAAATGCAAAAGTAGCCAAATCGAGCCATAATGTATCAATTAATTTGAAATTATAAAGCAAAATGTTATAAGACAATAGTTTAGTACAGTAAAAGTCCAAAAATCCGGATGCCAGAAATCCGGACTTTTCGAAAACTTTTTTTTTTAGCGGGCTTTTGTGTATGTGCGCATGCGTGAGCGCCACAGCTGCACAGTGACAATAAGCGACCATGTGGTCGCCACTTTAAAACAAGCAATCAAACTGTGACAATGTATGTAATTTTGAGTCCTACTCTTTCCATTTACAGAGTACTGTACAAGCCCATAATAATGGCTCCTAAAGTAGATAAACTTCGTTCTGTGAAGAGAAAGAAGAACACGTTGAAACTCAGTGACAAACTTGAAATAATTAAGAAACTAGAACATGGTGTGAGCAATACTGTTCAAATGGAAACATACGACATTGGAAAGTCTACAATTTATGATATAAAAAAGGCAAAGAATAAAATTCTAGAATTCACAGCTTTTTCTTTAAATTGCTCGTTTTGATAAATGAAGCATGCTATATTTGCTAATGAATAAACTATCAAAATGTACCTATTCATCTCTTCTTTATTCCTCCTAAAATTTGAATTTTAAAAGTACTGCCTGAGAATCCGGAAAATCCGGACTGACCCAATCCCCAAGCAGTCCGGATTTTTGGAATTCTACTGTAGTGCTGTTAATGTCTGTGCTGTGTAAGTGTCTTGGCATGTCACCTCACCACCCGACTTCGCCCTTTGCCTTGTTATATCGGCTTAAAATTTGCATTGAATTATTACTGTGATTAATTACTGTATTATTTTACCTTTTTAGTATTGTATATACATTTAAAGAAATATTTATATTTATACAGTAATTATAAATAGAAAAAGAGCAGAAAAATCTTGCATTACCCAAGTGGTTGGTCTTCCCACCCACAGACCAACCACGTGAGGATGCGGCTAAACATGATGCAATTGCGCATTATTAAATAGTCAATATTTGTTCCCAGACCCAGAAATAAAAATTTGGAGGATAGATTTTCTAGACTTTTTTTTACCCCCACGTCCTGGTTGAATTCTGGATCGTCTATCTAGGGCACCCCGGTTGACGTTCCAAAATGAGCTCCTTTTCGCAGCACTGTTAGAATGCCCAGCGCAGTCTATTACGTTCCAGCGTGATTATTTGCCTTTCATGCCACACATGAAAATAGTGCTACAATTATGTTATAAATTTATTTATTTGTGAAATTATTCTTCCGATAATTATTTATATCCATTACTTGTTCTACCAAACACAGAGACAGCCAGACAGCCTGGCGACAGACTGAGTGTGTAGCCGAGCACTTTTTATGAAAGAGAATGCAAATAAAATATTCTCAATGATTATGAGTATTATTAACAGTAAATGTATGCATTCCTGGCCATCACGGACACAAATGCAAGCAGAAAATGGCTGCTAAGTGCGAAGTGACCACGAGAGCCAGCTGTCAAAACAACACTGTCCCCTTATCTCCCTCCTTAGGAGCTGCCAGGGAAGTTTCTAGAGGGTCAATATATATTTTTTCTTACTTCTTTTTTATTGTTTTATCATTTAAAAAGGCTGAAAATTGTTTTTGGAAAAGTTGATTTTACTCGATTTACCTCACGTGGGGGATACGGCCAGCAGCACCCCAGCTCGGGGCATAGGGGTTAATTTTCAGAAAATTATCCTGATTTTCAACCTTGGAATTTGTTCCCAAACCCAGAGAATGGCTGAGATCAATTGGGGCAAGAGCTGCATGAACCTAAATCTAGAAGAGAGGAGAGCCAGGGGTAGGTCAAGAATGACACAGGACAGGTTGTATGAAACTGCAAGAGACCATGTTGCAGGAAGAGCTGCCATCAGGTAGCCGAGGCTTACCCGCACAAGTATGGTAAATGGCCGTAAAATTTTAACAAATTAGAGTACTGTACATGTATTATGAAATTGTTCATATCATCTCTTCTACTTACATTTCATTATCTTCCCAAATGTAAGGTAGCCATCCATAACTGAGGCCACAATTTGTGCAACTTGTCTATATTTGAACTCCACATAGCCATAGCCACAACTTTCACCTGTCTGAAAAAATCACACAATATTAGGTATAAATTGATTGAAATTATGAAACAAATTATAATTGACTAGTTTGTATGATCAGAATGTAGTAAATACAAAGCCTATCAAAAGAAACAACATTCTGTTGATATATTTTCCACCCAGGTATTTCACTTTCTCTTCCTTCACTTTTAAAAAGATTTTCAAAATACAGCTCCTTCCCGACTTGCGACGGGGTTAGGGACCCAAATCCAGGTCTTAAGTCGAAATGGTCGTAAGTCGAAAATGCTTAAATAATACATAGAAAATCTAAAATGGGTGTCTCTTTTTCTTCTCAGCACCACAAAACTCTCACTTTTAAGCTTGCCGGCCATTTTAAAGTGAATTACAAATGGAAATTTTGTCTGTGTACCGAAGTTGGGACTCGAAAATACGTAATTAGAAAAAATTTTGGTACGACAAAGGCAGGTCGTAAGTCAGGGAGGAGCTGTATAGAAATTAAAAGTTCTGATCCACCTGCTTCACTATTAATCCACTAAACAGCTTAGTAAGACTTACAATGTAAAAACAAGAACTAATTAAAAAATAAAATGAGAATGGTTGCATTGGTGAAGGATTAGAAACTACGTACTGTACAGTACAGTACAGGTACTCCTCTACTTACGACCTACTCGACTTACGACCACCTGGACATACGACCGCTACAATCGTATAAAATATTTTCCAAATTACGTATTTTCAAGTCCCGACGTTAGTGATCGCGCTGTGCACTGACAAAAATTTTGTTTGTAATGCCCTTTAAAATGACTGGCAAGCATAAAAGTGAGAGTTCTCGTGGTGCTGAGAAGAAAAAGAGACACCCATTTTAGATTTTCTATGTATTATTTTCGCCTTTTCGACTTACAACCAATTTGGTAGTCGGTCTGGAACCCCGTCGTAAGTTGAGGACTGACTGTAGGTATAATGTGACGTACGCAAAATGACTACATGGAAGAGGATTACAATTTTTTAAAAGGTTATAATGGAGGAAATGAGCCAATAAACCTCTTCTTGAACTGAGCTGTGATAACTGTATATTTCAGCCATAAAAACAGAATTGGAAAAAATGTAAACTGCAATAAGAGAATGAGAAAAATGAGAATCATCTGTAATAAAGGTTCTAACACTAGGATATACACTATGAGGACCTGGACCTTTTGTACCATAAAAATTAATTACCAAAACTAAAACATACAGTATATAAAATTATAAATTCAAAGGCACAAAAAACAATACTGTAATCAAACAACTTAGGCAAAAAGGCCAAATACAGTATTCCCTTAAAGCTCGCTAGGGTTAGGTAAAATGAACCCCGTGAGAAAGCAAAATCCGCTAGTTTTTCATGCCGGTCCCAGGAGTGTGCAAAATACACATATAAATAGCTATATGCACATGTATAACAACATTATATAAGTATAAGACAATATAATAAATATGAAATAATATAAATAATATAAATAAATAAACAAACTAACACTGTGTGGGCCATTAGGCCCACACAGTGATAGTTAGCTGCGGTGATAAAAAAATGATACCACATAGCCAGTGATTTGGCTTTGCCAGTACAGTAGGCTATTAAATCTAAAAAAAAAAATCCAAAATATACCTTGTTAATTACAGGGTGCATCTTATGACCTGGGAAATATGGTGCTCTGAACTGTCCTGTAGTGTTGACTCCTTTTGATCCCTGGCACACAGCCTCAGATTTATTTGATTTATTTTCCATGGTAATCCGTGAGTTCCAAGGGACACAAGCTTTAAAACCGTGAGCTTTAAGGGAATACTGTACAAGAATGCTCCCATTGTACAATACAACTGTATACAGATATAAAAATCTAGTTTACAAAAAGAAAAATAACTTGGTGCTTTTGCAACATACAGTATACTTACTAAAAAAGATGCATCAGTACCTTTTCTGGTCACTACACATTACTGTACAGTCAGTTCTGCTATAACGCGATAGTTGTGTTCTTGTAAAACATCGTGTTATAGAAATTCACGTAATAGAAATAACAGGGCTTATGGAGAAAATAGGGTTAGGTGCAGATTACTACTCGAAATCGAAAAAAATTTAGTAGTTAGCCTAACACAAAGGATAGCACAGTCTAAATAAATGTTACATTCATATCTAATAATGAAATCATACAGTAAATGTAACACTTTACCTTGAAAAAATATGAATATAACTTGATGGGGGAGAAGGGTGATTTTGAGGTAGATAACATCGAGCTTCTCTTCAAGGGTTATAGCCTTTCTTTTACGATCATCACTGGGAATGCGATTACCAGAACGCTTCTTGGAGATATTCTTTCTTACCATATTCACAGTTAATACCACAAAATTGGAGAAATAGTAGGCAAAAATCGCGTTACAGCAAACAAGCATTCGCGTTATACAAATATCGTTCCTCTATTCATAAATCGCGCTAGAGCCAATTCGCGTTGTCAAAACACGCGTTATAGCAGAACTCACTGTATTTATAAAAGTTCAAATGGATTATTCAGTTAGATGGAGCAATGGTAAAAATAGAGGTATCCCTCATTTAATGAAGGGGCTGAGCTCCTAAAAACCTAACATTAAGTAAAAATATCGCCTCTAAACGAGGATAACAGCAAAATACGGAGGGCGAACAAGAAGTTCAAAGGGCAGGGCAGTAAACACTGAGCACATACTGTACCACCTAATAATAATAATAAATGGGTGTTATTTCAAATTGTATATAAAAAATGAAAAAAAAATGCAATGATAAACAATAAAATTGATTCATAACGTACATAGCTTCTACCACGCGCATACCATCTTCTTGCCAATGCAACACAGTTCAGCTAGGCAATCACCCAGCTGACTCAGAGATGCATGTGGTTGCTGCCACACTGAGCCATGTGTATACCAACATCTGGGTGGCAAGTTGACGACACAGTTACAGCCCACTATCACCACACACGTCCATATTCTTCGTTTTTCTTATTTAATAGTTTATATTACATTTACTCTAAAGTAAGCAAGGAAGGTTGTCAAATTTTTTTTATAGCTAAACTGTATCAATGTACAGTAATAGGTGAATTAATACTAAGCAAGGGATACCTGTAGATGCTTTAGTTATCATCAGGATCTTCTGTGTGTATTAATACTGCTGGTGGTTAAGAAGAAAGAGCTGGTTTTGATCAGACAATAAAGGAAATAGCGATGGTGAAGGCCTTCCAACTTTATTAAACACTTATTGCTTGAGAGGGGGGTCTTCAAAAACTTAAATTATGGCACTGCCGACTATACTGATCCACAACCTCGAGTAGAATATCCTCCTATTCATTAAAGCTTTAGTAGTGAATATCTCTATCACTGTATGTAATTATCTAAATTTACAATTTACAAACAAGGCTGGAAGCAGCTTGTAACCCATTTTAATTGATACTAACTCGATCAAAACAAAGATATCATTTGAAAGCTGACACACAAACTTCCCCATCAGGAAGAATGTGAACATTTCCAAACAGAACTTTTCTTGAATAAAATGAATACCTGGACTTTCCGGGTAATAAGAATCAGAATACCATAATGTTTACCATACAGTATATGAGTAAGTGAAACTAGGTTCCAAAGACCTGTTGGCCCATAAGCTGCAGTATAGATGCAGAACACTGTATGCAAAGGCTTTGGTTCACAGGAAGGCAGTGTGGTAAGCAGTGCATTCAACTGCCTTCACTTCCCCAACCTTCAAGCTTGTTACCCATTTACAGCTTGGTAAACTGGGGGTGCCTTGGACATAAACCAGCAACCTTAAGACAGGGAGAGTGCGTTGTATCCACACCCCTATACTTAACCTTCATTAATAAGACATCAATAAAGTAATACTGTACCAACCTTTTTACTACGTGCAAGCCTAATCCTCGTAACCCGTCCAAACTGTCTGAAGTATCTCGACATTCCTTTTTCGAAGAATCCATGTGGAATATTTGACAGGAAGATGACTCCTCTTTTTTTTGTTTCTGCTTCTTCAGCTCTCTTTTTTTGTGCACTCTTTAATGCCTGGAAAGCAATACATATGTTGTTAAACATTCATGGTAATACAACAGTAGTGAAGAATACTTGTCATATCACTTCCCTCTATCAAGTCTTATCTATTTTCAGATAGTGATCCTTAACCTACATGATGCTCAACAAGCACAAATTCAAATGTAGACCAAGACCATTTCACTACCCATTATTTGATCTGCACAAGTTGAAACTCAAAGATAGACCACATGACTAGTGATTCATTGTTACATTGTTAGAACTTGCAAAACATAACTAAAATTTAATTACCAAAGAAAAATGCAATTTAAGAAAATACAAAGTAAAATAAAAAAATAAATAAATTATATATATATATACCGTATATACTCGTCTATAACCCCCCTTCGTATATAGGTCGACCCCGATTTTTTACCAAGAAATCGTTTATTTATGATATTCCTCGTTTATAGGTCGACCCAAGTTTTTGAGGGTAAAGGAACAACAAAACCTTCAGAAAAACACTACATCCTATAAACTTGTTTACCATTTATTATTACGACACTACACTGAAACGCGGGTAGTTTCAAAAAAAATATTGTATATTTCCATTCAAGTCAATTATGTAATGAGACAAAGACACAAGGAGAGGAAGAATATATATATATATATATAGGAAGTATAGAGAGTAGGCATGTAAAGATAGGAAACTTGGTAGCGTGGCCTGGATGTTATTTGCACAGCGTCACTACGCTTATCTTATCTCGTATGTCAATACATGTATATCACTTCTTAAAGGGACAACTTGTTAAACACCTCTTGATACAACTATTTATTACTTCACTCAATGACATGGACACATTAATATCACTATTATATCGGGGTACTAACACATCATGCTTTACGTTACTTGACACTGACTCTCGGACACACCTGAATGAATACACTTCCCACAGTAGGTAACTCACCCTAGGACGTTCTGACAAGACTCACGTGTACCCTGACGTAGGCCCAGTGAATGCTTGGCTGGGCTGCCTCCTATGAGAGGCTTCTGCTTAGCTGGGGTCTGGTCGGGAAGTCCCCTTCCCGACCTGGGGAGAGGGTGAGCTTGACTCTGAGAATCTCCAGAGTAATGAGCGTCTCCTCAGAATGTTCAAATGACAACCAGGGTCAGAATGATAATCAGAATGGTAATGGAATCCCGAATGCCGAATGCCCGTGGACGGGACTGTAGGGCCTTTATATGGGGTCGGCCCAGCCGGCTTCTGACCTCTAACAATTAACACTAAACTGGTTTGATCTGGATAATTGTGTGCAGGTGTGGTCCTGGCCAGGTGTCTTGGCTAGGTGCGGTTGTAGGTCACCGGCTCACGTCATTAGCGGGCGAGGTCAAGTCCCTAGGGTCGACCTGAGGTGTGTCAACCTGGAATGCGGTGGTACCACGAGGTCTGTGGTGTACTTGCTGTTATATGTGACATAATTCTGGGCTGTAAGCTTTGGTCTGACAATCAATCATTACACCTCCCGCCAAGACCAAAGCTTCATCACAGAGACTGATGTCACATATAGACAGCAACATCACGTGTGGTATCAAAGATAATCCCTGGGGCGATAACATAGTCTCACATTTACAAACAACAATCTCATAGGTGTATGTTTTTCTACTGGCGCTAGTTTGATCTGACAAAGCTCACTATACCTCCCGCCAAGATCAAAGCTTCTATGCCAGGAGAAAAAGGAAACATAGCAAGTGAACATAGAATGAACAAATCCTTCATATGTAGCATAGTGTCCGAGGCAACCTTGCAAATCACATTCTACAAACAATAACAGGTGTTACATTTCCTTATCAGCCCATGTCAAAATAATAATTCATCTCAGTCAGTAATATAGCTACAACATCGTGTTTCATAGTCCAAGACATTGATCAAATGAACTCATAGAAAAAAGTGAGACTAAAAAAAGACATTCTTTGTAGTAAACATCAACAAAATCAGAGAAAATACTTCAAAATACACAAAAAATGTTCCTACTTCACATATTAGGGTATTGATATCTTTTTATTATACATCAACAACATCAGTACATTAGTTGGGTCCGGCATAGCTCACGTCTTCCATCCAGCTGGTATCTGAAAAACAGGGGATGGCGGCAGCTCAGCAGTTGTAGTCGGTTGGTCCTTCATCATCGACTTTCTTGTGATGTCAGGACAGCACATCTTCTGTCTTCTTTCTTCACATAGCACATCTTCTGTCTTCTGTCTTCTTTCTTCACATACCGCACCTTGTAGGTCGTTTCTCCACACCTTCTGACTTCTTCTCACTTCCTCCTGGTTTCTATACTCTTCCAGACGAGTTTTCTGTCCCATCTGCGTTCTTCCTCTATACATCTTCATTTTCATATTCCAGATGAATTTTTCTGCTCCATCTGAGTTTCTTTATACATCTTCGTTTTCCGTCATATTCCAGATGAATTTTTCTGCTTCATCTGCATTTCTTCTCTGCAACATCATCATTTTCAACATATTCCAGACGATTTTCTGTTCATCTGCCGCCGGCCCTCTCCGGCCGGGATGAAAGCCGGTCCACTGTTTGGGCTGTCGTCTCCTTAGATGACTGTAAGGCAGGTTCCGCGGACCAGGGCTCGCCCTCCGTACGTGAGTGTCGGCGAGACCAAAGACCGTCCTGTCTTACACCTTCCACAGTGGTGAATCCCTCCCTGGCTGGGCTCACCAGGGTTCGTTGTGTGGCGATCCATTCCACACTCCTTACTTCCTAAAGTAGAAAAATATAAAATCTTCTTAATCCTATACCAAGGGAGGACTTGAAAGAAGTGACGTGGTGTGTGGTGGGTTTCGTGCTGCCTTCATCAAGCTGCATTCATCACGCTGCTTTCATCATGCTGGTTCTTCTCTGCTCGTATGTACTGTGGTTGACGTCCGGCTGGCCATGGGTGGTACTGTGTGTGACATTTGACAGAGAAACAATCCTAAAGGGGTGATGGATTAGTTGGAAGTGCATTCGCAAAAAAAAAGTTTACTTTATATGTTAGGTCAATGTTTGGCAACTATCATTTCCGTCACGACAATGTTCTCATCAGGCTGGGTCGGGGAGTGAAGCTCTGCGCACTACACTGAATATCATTTATCACTGCGCGTCAAAGAGTACATCACAAATCATAATAGCATAAAAATACACTGAGTGAAGCTCTGCATTCATCGCAATATTACTTTATATTAACCATCATCATCAACACACAGCTTACGGGACAAAAGACGGGGGATTAGTGTGGTCAAGCGGGGCGGGGCAGGTCAGAAGGACGTGAGGTCACCCGAGCGGGGTGGGGCGAGGCGGGGCGGCGCGGGGCGAGGCGAGGCTGGCCAGGCCCAGCCAGGCTGGTGCGTTGCGGGTGAGGTGGGGAGGAGCCGAGGCGTGGTTGATCGGGCCAAACCGAGGCTTCGCGGGGCGGGGAGGTGCACGGAACGGAGGGGCGGGGCAGGGCAGGGCAGGGATGGGAGGAAGGGTAAGGAGGGTGAGGTAAGGATTAGGACAGGGAGGAGGATGTAGGTTAAAAGACATGTTAAGTTATAACAGTTAGTACAGTCACCGCTTTCATCACTAAAACACAATGGCTACATTTAACACTGACCAACAATCAAACTGCACTTGGGCTACTGAGAATGTCACAGATCGCGGGTGACACTGAGAAATTACGTTAAGCACTGAACATATTTCTATCAAAAATTCGCACATACCACGACGAGACATTGACTTGAGCTGTAAAGATGACACACTAGGACACTTTTCACGCTAGTACGCAGGAACTTCTTATTACGCACTTTTGAACTAACGAGCCAGGTGTTATGGCTAACGGGGGAGGGCATGGGTTTACGTTAAGTACACTGTTACCAATAACAAGGGACGCGGGGGGCGTGGGTTAACGTCATAGTTCGCTGTCACCAATGTAATGAGATAAACACAATGAGAGGAAGAATATAAATATATATATGTAGGAAGTATAGAGAGTAGGCATGTAAAGATAGGAAACTTGGTAGCGTGGCCTGGATGTTATTTGCACAGCGTCACTACGCTTATCTTATCTCGTATGTCAATACACGTATATCACTTCTTAAAGGGACAACTTGTTAAACACCTCTTGATACAACTATTTATTACTTCACTCAATGACATGGACACATTAATATCACTATTATATCGGGGTACTAACACATCATGCTTTACGTTACTTGACACTGACTCTCGGACACACCTGAATGAATACACTTCCCACAGTAGGTAACTCACCCTAGGACGTTCTGACAAGACTCACGTGTACCCTGACGTAGGCCCAGTGAGTGCTGGCTGGGCTGCCTCCTATGAGAGGCTTCTGCTTAGCTGGGGTCTGGTCGGGAAGTCCCCTTCCCGACCTGGGGAGAGGGTGAGCTTGACTCTGAGAATCTCCAGAGTAATGAGCGTCTCCTCAGAATGTTCAAATGACAACCAGGATCAGAATGATAATCAGAATGGTAATGGAATGGTAATGGACCCCCGAATGGGAATCTCGAATGTCGAATATGGAAATCCCCGTGGACGGGACTGTAGGGCCTTTATATGGGGTCGGCCCAGCCGGCTTCTGACCTCTAGCAATTAACACTAAACTGGTTTGATCTGGATAATTGTGTGCAGGTGTGGTCCTGGCCAGGTGTCTTGGCTAGGTGCGGTTGTAGGTCACCGGATCACGTCATTAGCAGGCGAGGTCAAGTCCCTTGGGTCGACCTGAGGTGTGTCAACCTGGAATGCGGTGGTACCACGAGGTCTGTGGTGTACTCGCTGTTATATGCGACATAATTCTGGGCTGTAAGCTTTGGTCTGACAATCAATCATTACAATTAGGAGGGAATATTATTGTAATACAATAGTTATTTAACTGAAAACCATTCGAAAAGCGATTACGGTAACATATTTTGAAAGAAAAAAAAGCAAGTCATTGTTTTCGTCAAAATTTTATCCCACTTTCCACTGAAATACGTACGTCAT